GGCTGAAGCTTGAACTTTTTCCTGATGAGAAAGCTAGTAGAGATCTTTAAACATGAACATGACTTGATTGGTTTAGGGCTTCACAAGGATGCCTCTGACAGCAAAGTGAAGCAATCTGTAAGTTCCTGTATGTCCAAGTGGAAAGACATGAGGCCCTGGGGTACATAGGAGTGGATGGGTTTCAAATCCATTTGAAAGTTAGACTTAGCAGAAGGGAATGCACATTCAATCAGAAATTGAATGTAGAACAAGAGGGAAAGACAAGAACATTAGATTGTAAGTTGAATATCCAGGTAGACATTTTCTCCAAGATCTTTTAGTAGGAGAAGATTGAATTTACCTAATCGTCTAGATGACTTCTAAGACATATAGTAACCCTTTGATTTTCATTTTAGTTAAAAAAATTTTTTTAAAGATTTTTATTTATTTATTCATGAGAGACACAGACACAGAGAGAGAGGCAGAGACACAGGCAGAGGGAGAAGCAGGCTCCATGCAGGGAGCCCGATGCGGGACTCGATCCTGAGTCTCCAGGATCACGCCCTGGGCCGAAGGCAGGCACTAAACCGCTGAGCCACCCAGGGATCCCAAAATTTTAAAAAAAAACTAGTTTAAAAGCATCAACCATCAGCAAGCGGGTCCTCTTTTAGGAGAAGGAGGCATCTTAGTATGTGAAATCCTGTTGTCTATTCATCTGTCACACTAACATTGCTGGCCCTGTTGAAAGGAAAGTCCAGGTCCTGATGCAAGGCTATTGGAGTCTTTCTTTCTTTTTTTAATTTTAGGATCCCTGAATCAGAGTGAGGACGATGTCCTGGATAAGCCCGGGTTAGGGAACAATGACATAGAAGTACACTTGATGTTCAGGGCGCCCTTCCATGGCCAAGCCACAACAATACCCTGTCGGGAGTAGTCCTAAAAATTAATTTTGTTGTCATGGTTCCACCTTAACTTTTATCATCTGGGTCAGGATGAGGATTCATTGTCATATACTTCATGCATTTGCTCCAATCTCTGGCTAACCAATGTTTTTCCATGACTTTGTAACAGTTATTTTTGTTCAGGAAGGAATAATAAAGTGAGATTTGCCATCTGTATAAGACAACATTAGTTTTATTTTGACATTTCTTTTCTAGACAGCAGAGTCTTTATAATTAGATTTTCCCTCTGCCAAAAATTTTGCTGAAAAACTACTTCCCTGAAAAAAAAAATTTCAGAGCTCCCATTATTAGTTGGAGTCATCTTATTTTGTTTTGGAAGTTCTTTCGTAAGCCAGTCAGGAAATGAAACAAGAAGATTTTCTCTTGAAAACGAATTCTTAGCAAGAAACAAAAGTTAACTTTTCTCCAAAAGAAAATTAGGAGAGAGAGTGAAAAGAAACATGTTTCAAATGGTGATGGTTCCAATGTCTTTTTAAATTTTAATTTGTCAGATTTAAGTGAACAACATAGGAAGCCATATTCCAAATGAGCTTGTATTCTTGCTGTGACTGTGGTCAGGTTTATGTCCAACTTCTCGAAATACCCGGGGGACTGTGCTAGAACTGAAGCACAGCAGCAGTTGTGGGCTCTCTGAAGAGCCCAACTGTGGAATCTACCCCTTTATTGATAAATGGTGGCCATCAGGCAGGTGCCACCTGGGGAGATGCAGGCCCCAGGCAAAGCCAAATGGACCAACATGCTGCTGTTGTGCCATTGGCTCTGTGATGGATGTCTGAGAGAGTAAGTCGCAGTGTGCCAGTTGACGGCACTTTCTCTCCAGAGTGCTCTTCAAAACATGACAGGTGATAAAATCCCCCATCATTGCTAATGGGGAAAACAGCCCAGTGAGCTAATGGCAAAAACAGTCATACTCATTGCATTGGCACCTTTCACCCCCCATAAGATCTAGAAACACCTTTCAGCTCGGACGTAGCCCTAGTGGCCAAATTCTCTTTACAGCACAGAATACTTTCCTTTTTTTTTTTTTTTAAAGATTTTTATTTATGTATTCATGAGAGACCCAGAGAGAGAGAGAGAGAGAGAGAGAGAGAGGCAGAGACACAGGCAGAGGGAGAAGCAGGCTCCATGCAAGGAGCCCGACATGGGACTCGATCTCAGGACCCTAGGAACATGCCCTCAGTCAAAGGCAGACACTTTGAGCACTGAGCTGCCCTGCTGCCCTGGCTATTCTCCTTTTTGAGTCCTACCTGAAGGGCTGCTCCTAGAGTCAGACTGCAGACCCAGCCACCATCCTTCTCTTCCTCATCTCCACATGCCTTTCCTCCACTGCCATCATCTAGTATTTTTGTATTAAGCATTAGCAAGGACATGGAACTGAAATAGACATTATATAACATCTCAAAGGGTGTATCTATTTAAAATGGAGACAGCAGGTGTCTTCTACAAGCACTGAGCCAGTATTTGTTTATAGCAGTCTAGATAAAAGGGCAAAATACCAGTTCTTGGCTGTTCTTCAGCCGTTCTTGAGCTCATGGGCAGAGTGGAAGCGTTTCTTTCCAGTGTATTTTTGTATAAAACGAACAGCACCTCCTTTTCAGTTTCAAAATGTTGCTTATGGGTGACTGATGTGCTGTGAAGTGTAAGGCGTAGGGAGCAATCTCCTCTGTCAGAAGGTGGTGGCCTTTTGTTTTGAATATACAGATTTGCTCATGTAGAATAGAAAGGGTATTAATAAACTGGCTTGGGGGATGCCTGGGTGGCCCAGCAGTTGAGCATCTGCTTTTGACCCAGGGCGTGATCCTGGAGACCTGGGATCGAGTCCCACGTCGGGCTCCCTGCACAGAGCCTGCTTCTCCCTCTGCCTGTGTCTCTGCCTCTCTCTCTCTGGGTCTCTCATGAGTAAACAAATAAAATCTCAAAATGTATAGACAAACAAGCATACAGGCTTGGGTGACTGTTTGGGCCTTGACTCTTTGTCAAGAAGAGATGTAGGGTTCAAGGAAAAGTTCTTTTAAGTCTGTGATAGCAAAGGATGAGGCAGGTCGTTACCCGCCCGTGTGTTGAAGAATTGTTACCTTCATGTAATCTAGCTCCACTCTGCTCCTTCCCTTCACCAAACACAGAGAAGAACCAGGCACCTGGTATGTTAAGGGTTTGAATAGAAGCCTCCTTGGCAGTAGAGCCTTGAATTTCTTATCCATAAGCAACAAAGGTTCCTCTAAAGGGAATTAGCATCACCTTCTGCTGTATGAAAAGGAAGAGTCTGCACTTCGTTGAGATTTACTGTGCCTATGGTTTTCATTGGGCAGTGAAGCTTTATGTGGCCTGTTGGGGTATCGGGGTAAAGCCCACTTCATACTGGGGACATCAGCAACATGGCACTCTGGAGGCAGAAGGCACCTGGAGGGTCACACAGGCCTTGTTTGAATCTTAGCTTTGCCACTTACTAGCTATTTGGACTTTTCAATCTTCTTCTTTTTAACAATGAAACAATTATAATGTTAGACTGAGTTATGAATATTAGTTACCATTTATTGAGCACGGAGGTTGTGCCAGGTACCCAGACAAGCAATTATCATCAACAGTGTCATTTAATTTTCATCATAATACATGAGCTAGGAATTATTATCTCCACATTGAATGTAAGGACACTGATGTAGCATATCGCTCGGGGTCACATGGCTCGTGAGTGGTTGGCGTCAGGCTTCAGTTCCGGCCGGGTCTCTCAGATTTCAGATCCTGGGAGAGATAATATGAACTTAACATGGTACCTGGTACGTGGTAGGTGCTTAGCAATGCCAGTTATTTTTCCTTCCATGTGTTTCCTGTGGTTTTGGTATTGATTTCTGTGTCAGATTTTTATATATAAGGTTCTCCAGAGCAGGCCTGTCCTGCTGCCCTCATGTGGTTCATTTGGATAACAGTGGTTTAAAAAATATTTAATTGGGGTGTAATACGTATGCCAATAAGGGTTATTTCAAATGTGTCTGTAGAGTCACCTAAGTGTATGGATACTTTTGGATATATCAATGATTCTAACATCTCAGTATACAAGAAATACCACTTTAAATTTTTTTTTCCTACAGTCCAATTTAATTTCTAACCGAGTTCCACCCAGCTGGTAAGATACTTCATTTCAGTCACTCTTATAACTTGTCCTCTGGCTTCACCATCAGTTGTCTTAGAAAAGAACCTTTCTCTTCCCTGGTACAGTGCATCACATGAAGCTTTGTCCTCTCAAGAAGGGAGGAATTTTTCTTGCAATGATGTTTTCCACCCGACTGCTGTGTTTACAGAGACCTTTAGCCCACTGGAGAAATCTTCAACTTTCACACTTAAGAAAGAGTTCAAATCACCAGGGAGTAGAAGCTTAATTCAGTTACCAGTTTAAATGTTAGAAACTTTTTCCAGGAGAGTAAAAGAGAAAGGTCTGCTGTCCCCATTATCAGGAGCTTTAACTCACTAAGTGAAATTTCACTTGAGGTTTCTTTTTGTGGACGGTGAGGGGCTTAACTTACCTGGATTCATTTTGCCTCACCCACAATTGCATGCATGCATTTGCAGCCCAGTCATCAGTTATCCGTGCAGGGCTGTAACCCAAGCAGCTCTCCTCCAGGGACTTCCTTGCTTTCCAGTGACCCGACCCAAGAGATTTGAAGATCTGGTGTCAGATTGGTGCCACGGCGCCCTCTGATTCTGTGTAATGGGGGGAGGTGTGGGTGCAAGAGGGGAGGTTAGGATGGGACATGGTAAGGAGGGAGCATCTGTCTTAGTTCTTAAGCAGCATTTATTTTTTAATTTTTTAAAAAAGGTTTTATTTGTTTATTCATTCAAGACACAGAGAGAGAGAGGCCGAGGGAGAAGCAGGCTCCGCGCAGGGAGCCCGAGGCGGGCCTCGATCCCATGACCCCCGGGGTCATGCTCTGGGCCACAGGCAGACGCTCAACCACTGGGCCCACCGGGGGCCCCTCTTAAGCAGCATTTCAAAGCAGCATAGACCCCTTGGGTCCTTAAATGTGTCTGGCGTCGTCCTCATGCAGAGACCTTATTGTATTTCAGATAACGGAGGACAGACGCTGGCGGGGGGCAACAACTGGCCGCTTCGAGGACGAAAATGGAGCCTGTGGGAAGGAGGCGTTCGAGGGGTGGGCTTCGTGGCGAGCCCCCTGCTGAAGCGGAAGGGGGTGAAGAGCCGGGAGCTCGTCCACATCTCCGACTGGCTGCCCACCCTCGTGGGGCTGGCCGGGGGCAGCACGAAGGGCACCAAGCCTCTGGATGGCTTCGACGTGTGGAGGACCATCAGGTACTGCTCAGTTCCTTTGTTCCCTCCCGGGGCGGGCGGCAAGAGCAGCCTGGGGGACTGAGTGGAAATGACAGTTCAGCTTACCGGTAAATTATTTTTTTAAAGATTTTTGAAATTTATGTATCCACAAGAGACAGGGAGGCAGAGGGAGAAGCAGGCCCCGAGCAGGGAGCCCAACGGGGACTCGATCCCGGGACCCCGGGGTCACGCCCTGGGCCCAAGGCAGATGCTCAACCACTGAGCCTCCCAGGTGCCCACAAATAAATTATTTTTTAGGAAGAATAAAATGTCTTTAGAACTATTGTCAGGATGTATAGAGATGTTCTGGATTTGAGATTGTGGCCACGTGTTTGATACAAAGAGGAAGATTGTCTTCAGCTGCTTGCCCTCTACAGGTGTTTTTTTTTCTTTTTTTAATTTTTATTTATTTATGATAGTCACACACAGAGAGAGAGAGAGGGGCAGAGACATAGGCAGAGGGAGAAGCAGGCTCCATGCACCAGGAGCCCGACGTGGGATTCGATCCCGGGTCTCCAGGATCGTGCCCTGGGCCAAAGGCAGGCGCTAAATCGCTGCGCCACCCAGGGATCCCTACAGGTGTTTTTTTAAGCAGAGAAGCTTCTCAAAGGGGTAGGATGGGGTATTGTTTGCTTCCTGGAGGTTGGGGGACCTGCCCTGTTGTCTGCTGGGAGAATGGAGCGCTACACAGGGGATAGAGCTGGAATGGGAGCCAGAGAGTATCTAATGAGCACCCACTATGAACCACCCCGTTTTTTTTTTTTTTAAGATTTTATTTATTCATGAGAGACACAGAGACACACACACACACACACAGAGAGGCAGAGACAGAGGCAGAGACAACAGGCAGAGGGAGAAGCAGGCTCCATGCAGGGAGCCCACGTGGGACTCGATCCCGGGCCTCCTGGATCAGGCCCTGGGCCGAAGGTGGCGTCAAACCGCTGAGCCACCGGGCTGCCCTGAACCACCCACCCCTGTTTTAGCGGTGGGGGAGTTCGAAGTGAACAAGACAGACAAGATTTTGGCTCTCATGGAGCTTGTGTTCTAGTAGAGAAGGTGAGGGAGGGCAGAGAGTGCAGAGAGGAAATAACTAAACACATAAATAAGCAAGATGACTTCCAGTAGCCATAAACACTGTGAAGGCAGTAAGGACGTGTGTTGTGGAGGAGAGTTGGCAGACGTAAGGAGGTACGCTGGGGAGCAGAACCCAGACTCAGCTTCGGAAATGGTGGAAGTCCTTTTCCGGTTTAGCCGCCACAGCGTAGAAAAATGGAGGTACACACCTCCAGGGGTGCAGGAAGAAAATTATAAGCTTGTATTTGTTTTTGATTTTATCTTAATTTTGTCTAAGAATATGTTTTATAAGGTACAACACGTATTAGAAGATTAGCACATATATCCAAGTTATAAATAAATGTGCACATATAGTACATATATTTTACTGGTGGAATGGCAGTTGTCTAGTGCAATAGGATTTAACCTCTCTTTGGTGTTACAGAAGGAGAAAAAGTGGCTGATTGACTACCCTAATGGCCCGGAGGAGACAACCTCCTCGTGTTCTCTTCTTCATCCCACTCCAGATGCTCCATCTCAAAAATAGTAGGGTTTCTATTCTTACGAAACATGCAGTTGAGTAGGAGTAAAGTGTCACGATAACATGTTAACATATCCTCAGATGGTTCAGAAAATATTATGTGCATGTATTTCCTATATAGTTCGAGATATATAGTGTGTGTGTGTGTGTGTGTGTGTGTGTGTGTGTGTACACAGAGAGGAAAAATACATACTGAGTCAAATATTAACAGTGAGATTATCTGGGTAAAGGGCATAGGTGGTTCTTTTAGTATTTCTTAGTTTTGCAACTTTCTTTAAATTTGATATTATTTCCACATAAAACTTTTTAAAAATAGGCAATTCTGGCAACACAGGGATCCAACCTTACCACAAAGCCAACTGACAGGAATCAAGTTGTTTCTGTATTCCTTAGAGTATTCCCTCTTCAAATCACTTGTCTCCATTGCCCCCAAATCCCAACCCAGGCCCACTCCATTCACTGGTGTTAACTACCTGGTCCCTGTAGACATTTAGGTTTATAATCCATAGTGCATAGTATGGATATACCATAATTTAACCAGTCCCCAAGTGCTGGATATACTGGTTATTTCTAATATTTATATTATCAATTTTTAGGTAAGTGATATTCAGTATTAAAAATAGGAGGGTTTGGGCACCTGGGTGGTTCAGTCGGTTAAGCGTCCAACTCTTCATCTCAGCTCAGGTCTTGATCTCGGAGCATGAGTTCAAGCCCCACATTGGACTCCACACTGGCCAAGGAGCCTACTTAAAAAACAAATAAATAAAAATAAATAGTAGTGTTTGAGATAAGATTACTTTATGCAAAGGAACTTTAGTTTTGATGCTAAAATTTGAAATGTCCTATGAGCTTAGGAATGATGAAAGTAGCATTGGGCAGGGCTGTTTGGCCTCTGACAAGCCTGGAGTCTATTGGTTCCTTTGTAATGAATCTCATCCAGGAGGTGAGACTAGGGAAGGTCTTCATCTCCTACAGACCCAGGGGAAATTCTGATTCGATTAGCTTTGTGTCCTTTTTCTTTCAATTGCTTTGCAATTCAAAGTTCCCAAGTTTTTTTTTTTTTAAGAGAATTTATCAAATTTAAAAGATCTTTTCTCAAACAGCAAAATTTAAAGTATCAGGAACTCTTTTTTTACCTTTTCCTATTTTCCAACTATTACTTCAGTCCTTCTTCTAAATCATACTATTTTGGGGGAAAAATCCTAACCAGCCCCAAATTGTTTCCTCCTATTCTTGCCTGAGAAGTTGGTTTTTCCGTTTGGATTGGATGACTAGTTTATGATTTGCCATTTAAAGAGAACAGAGCCGTATCCACCTCATCAAACAGCTAAGCCAAGAAGTAAACAAGAAAACTTTTTCTCTCATTAGTTGTTTTGAAAGTTTATACTCATTATTTGCTCATTCATACAAGATGACATTTTTCTTTTTCTCTAAAATCTTTCTGCCCCTCTTCATGATCTAAACATGAGATGAGATGTACACACGTGTTCTATGCTGACTCTATGTAATTTCCCTGGGTATCAGTAATATATACTCATTGTAGATAACTTGCAAAGCACAGACAATAAAAATAACCACCCAGATCTTACCTGGAAACAGCTACCATAAACATGTCATGTTCCCTTAAAATTTTTCCTAGCATTTTTTTTGCTGCCTCTTTTTTTCTTCAACTCACACATCATCAGTTTTAATCATGTTGTCCAAGAAACTCATTGCAAATATTATTTCAATGACTACATATTCTGTCATTAACCTTTTTTAAAAAAGATTTTTTTTATTTATTCATGAGAGACACAGAGAGAGAGGCAGAGACACAGACAGAGGGAGAAGCAGGCTCCATGCAGGGAGCCTGACGTGGGACTCGATCCCAGGACCCCGGGGTCACGCCCTGGGCCGAAGGCAGAGGTTCAACCACTGAGCTACCCAGGTGCCCCTCTGTCATATACCTTGATATCCTTAACAATTCCCTTACTATAGATTGATCTTTATTTTTTTTATCATTAACACTGGAGTAAACAATTTCTTCATAAAATCTCTGTCTATATTTTGGATACTTCTCGTTATATAGAAATTATTTAAAATTAAATTATTATTCAAAAGAATGAGTTCTACATATTTACTTTTCTGTTTTGTTTTTTTAAGAGTTTATTTATTCATTCATGAGAGACACACAGAGAGAGGCAGAGACACAGGCAGAGGGAGAAGCAGGCTCCACGCAAGGAGCCCGATGCGGGACTCGATCCCCAAACCCCAGGATCACGCCCTGAGCTGAAAGCAGAGCTCAACCGCTGAGCCACCCAGGCATCCCTACTTACTTTTTTTGAATGTCAGCTTTATTGCATGCATTTTTAGTTGTTCTTCTTGTGTTGCTATGGAACACAAACCTTGAAAAAGTTTGCCTAATTTTGGAGAATGAAGAAAATAGGTATCACATTAAATCTGGAAGTTGATTTTGTTAAATTGTCTTTATATTTCATCATTCAACCATGAGGCAACACACCGCAATCAGAGATGTATATTCAAGGGACATGCTGGGTGGTTAGTGTTCTGTCGTTGAGTCAAACGTTGTCTGACACCTTTCTCTCCTCTCACTGACTTACGACTGCTGAATTCCTAATGGGAGGAAAAATGATGTATAGTTTAATTTCATTTTTCCAGCTTTATTGAGATATAGATGACATAAAACATTGTGTAAACTAAAGGTGTACATTGTGATCATTTGATACACATATATACTGGAGTGATGACCAAAATAAGGTTAGTTAACACGTTTATCATCTGCCATAGTTACTATTTTTATGTGTGTGAGAACAGTTAAGATCCACTTTCTTAATAACTCTCTAGTATATGGTACAGTATTGGGACGCGTAGTCAGCGTGCTGTACATTAGATCCCCAGGACTTAATCATCTAATAGATGGAAGTTTGTACCCTTTGAGCAACATCTCCCTAGATCCCCCGCTCTCCAGCCCCTGGCAACCATCGTTCTACTTGTTTCTAAGAGTTCAGCCACCCCCCCTTTTCTTAGATTCCACATAAATGAGATATCATACAGTATTTATTTATTTTAAAAAAATTTTTTAAAGAGTTTATTTATTTATTCACGAGAGACACACCGAGAGAGAGAGAGGCAGAGACCCAGGCAGAGGGAGAAGCAGGCTCCATGCAGGGAGCCCGACGTGGGACTTGATCCCAGGACCCCAGGATCACGCCCTGGGCTGAAGGCGGCGCTAAACCACTGAGCCACCCAGGGATCCCCTCGTACAGTATTCAGAGATGACTATTTTGAAAGCATTTGATACACATTATAACATTGCCTTCCCAAAAAGTACCAGTGTACTCTTATTCCACTGGTATATGAGAATTCTCATCTCCTTCACAGATTTTCC